CTGGCTTGGTATGTATGTCGACAGCTAACTCATGGCTGATCACTTTGGGGGGAACCCTCGGCATGTCCTCGGGTCCCCAGGCAAAGATATCAGTATTCTCTTGTAGGAACGCGATCAAATCCCCTCGTAAGGGTTTGACTAGGCTTGACCCAATGTAACCGTCTTCGATCCTTCTCAGTTAATGTGTATCTCTTGAAGCTCCTCCGTCGGTGTTGTCCCCTGCCGCTCCATCGCTTTCTCCAATTAGAGGCAGGCTTTTTCGACGAGCATGGCGTCTTGCACGCCCTTACCCTTGGCTGAGAGTTGATAGCAGGATCTGGCCTCTCGTTGATTGCTCCTGGCGACACCGACTCCGTTAGGGGTCGGGAACTTGAGCATCTAGTGGTAAGTCGAGGGAATGGCTCGCAACACGTGGAGGGCGGTTCGGCCTAGGATGACATTGTGGATCGACTTGAGATCCATTATCGGGAACTGGACAGGAACGATAACTTGTTCGGGGTACTCTCCCACTGTTAGAGGGAGAGTGATCATTCCTTCTGGTAGAAGAGAGTGCCCAGTAAAACCGATAAGGGGTCCTCTGCAGGGGAGTGAGCGAGATCTGTCGATGCCCATTTTGTTGAAGGCATCGACATACAGGATACCTACTGAGCTTCCTGTGTCGACCATGATTCGTTTCACCTGGTAGTCGCTGATTCCTATCGTGATGACAATAGGATCATCATGGTGCGTCTCTACGCCTTGCAGATTGGCGTCCCCAAAAGATATGAGTTCGTCGGTCTTCATCCTCTTGTCGACTTCGTCGACTCACAACGCCCTCTTGGTATATTTCATCTGGGCGTTGTTAGACGATCCTCCAACAGTAGGACCGCCACTGATAGTATTGATGACCCCTTTGTGGCTAGGCTCCGGGGGTCGATTGTCTTGTTGATCAGATTCCCGACGATCCCTCCAAGAGGCAAGATTTTTCAAGTACCCCCTCTCTATTAAATCCTTAATGTCCCTCTTGAGGACGCGACAGTCGTTGGTGAGGTGGTCGTGATCCTGATGATATCGGCAAAACTATCGGGTATCGCGGTTCTTTGGGTTTGACTTCATCCTAGGGGCTGGCTCTCTGAGGTGTCCCTCTCTCTAGACCATGGCGAGAGCATTGGTGAGGGAGGTGTTGAAAATGGTGAGGTTTACTTTTAGCTCTTGGCCCCTCTGCCGATCCCTTTTGTTGGTCTGGTTGGAACGAGGGTCGAACCTTGGGGGGGTCTTTAGGCCACTCTTGCCTTACAGGGAGACCTCTTGCCAATTCTGGAAATGACGCTGAGACTGGTGCAGCTATCGGGGTTAACGGAATGGCTGGAATCTTCAATGGTGTCGAAGCCATGGCAGCAAAGGTCCTTATGCTCCTCGTTGATGCCTTATAGGCGCGGGCATCCTCCATATCCATGTACCCGTGTGCTTTGGCCATCAACTGCTCATAGTTATCGACGGGCTTCTTGGCAAGCGAGTCGGCCAACTCATTGCTTTGCAAGCCGGGAACGAGTGCGGACATGTCGACTGCACTCCCTGAGTCATTGACCTCCAGCCTTTTCGCCTGAAATCTTTTGAAGTAGGCGCGGAGGCTCTCCTCAGGCCCCTGCCTCATCTGAATCAACACATAGGGGAGGGGGAAGCTTCTACTTGGTGTCAGCCAGGAAGTGGTGAGAACTTTCGGCTGAGCTATTGGAAGCTCTTGATGGATCTCCTTTCAAGAGCGTTTCACCAAAGTTTAGCACTCCCCGTGAGAGTGATCGAGAAGTATCGATAGAGGATCGCTTCCGAAACTTGGAGCATGCTCATTATGTCGTAATAGTTTTGAACATGCTCGAAAGGGTCTCCTTCGCCTGTATATGTCCCTAAATGGGGCACTTTGATCTTCTCGAACGGGTAATCCATTATGTCATCGAAGAGGGGGGTGTTCCCCCTGATGGCGTCAGCGATCGGTCTGTACACTCGATCGTAACTGGAGGCCCTTACGGTGGCGGAGGAGGTTGGAGACGCATGGTGGTAGTGGTCGGCTTCAGAGGTTCCTTTATTGCGGTCTCTAAGATGACTAGGACCAGAACTCTCACCCGTGTTTTCCTGTTGAGGGAAAAGTTGTCGACGAGGCTCTCCTTGGCGGATCGCCCGATGAAATGGCGAGCCCGGTCGCCAAATATGACTTGACTATTTGGCAACAGTGTGAGGAGTCTGAAGTGGGATCTCTTGCCACGCTCTAGAATAGGGAGGAGCCTCTTATCTCTGATCTTCAGTAGGTAGGGGCGAGCCAACGAAACTTGTTGTGGCTGGGGGAGCCGGCCAAGGACTTCACTAGCAAAGATGTCAAGTTTCTCTCGAAAGGATTGAGCAAGCTTGTGAGTTGTGTCCTCGAGTTGATCTCGAGTAACATAACTATGGTGTTCTACAGGGCGAGTCTAGTTAGACCCTTGCTCAGAACCTGATATGTTTTCTCAAAAAAGAAAAGTAGCACCGCGGTGGGTGTCAAACCGTTGATGACTAAGATCACACAGTTAGTTGGATCCAGAAAAAGGATCGGTTTTGTTTTGTATTGAAGTCTTGAAGAAGGGTCGCTTTCTTCTCTGACTTTATGACTTGTTCTTGAGTTGGGGTGTTGAACAACCTACACATGTAGAAATCCGTAAGAGGATGGGGTTGGGTGCCCCCGTTGTACCTCCAACGATCAAAAGTTGAGTGTGGTAGAAAAAGAACTGTTATCTTCTTTATTCAGTTTTGGTGTTAGAAGATCAGATTTATCAACCTCTTTTACGTTAGAATGGTACATGTATTTATACTCAGTGCATAAGGAGCAGTCTCGTCACTTCAGCTTAGTACAGTAGGGCGGTGATGAAGTGTGGTCTGGCAGCTGAGCTAGCCTAGCCTCTGTTTTACAAGTGTCGACTGGCGCCTGGCGGGTAGATCACCTCGGCATTAAATGGGAAGTGATCGGCGGCGTTGCAAAGCTTACGTGGTCCGATGAGTCATGAATACATCGAGGCTAGAGGCATGATGCTCCTGACACGCATTAAAGGCGAGATGGACATGTTGTCAACGTGGATAGCTTTGTCGAGAAGTAATGCCTTTTGAGTCGGTTTCGTAGGGCTTTGGACTGGTGGTCGATTGGGTCCTCAGTGAATTGTCCTTGGCCAAAGGGTTGAGTAACTCCGCCTTTCGTGTCATCACGAGGAAAGGTTGACTCGACGAGTTGGCTAAGTCAAACTCTTTATAGGGCTTGGGCGAGCCAATTGATTGAGATAAGATGCATTGAAATATCTTAGGGCTTTCATTGTTAATACATCATATGTCAGCGAGTGGAAACACCATAACATCTCTAAAACCCAAAAACTCCCCTCACTTCGGATGTTCGCCTCACACAGCTTGGGTCCAACTCTAAGAAAGCTTGTCTAAATAAGGGATGATTAAATCAAATCATATTATATTATTGACCTCCATGTTTAGGCCCTTGATTGAAAACTGCCTCAATCCGTACACATTGTCGGAGGAACCTCCCTCGGTCAATGAGGTGAGAACACACAAACTTTCTTGCCGTCCAAGGAATTCCACGACTACCTCGACAAACAGGAGTGACACGCATAGCACCCGACTAGTCTCGATAAATCTCTATAAATATGACATCTCATACTCAAGTGAAGCGATCTGATCCAATTGATGAACCCATTCTAAATCCCTAGCCTATTTTCCATTTACGCAGTCTTTCTTCGTCAATAGGCTTAGTCATCAATGTGACGCTTTTTCCGTCTTATTATCAGGCAACTTTACAACAAAGATCATCATCAGCCTAAGAAGACGATACAGAGGCCCACATCTTCAAGTCAAAATATCAAGGATTCAATTGCCCCAGTTTTCTCAGCATAAACAGTAGCACTTCTACCATGAAGGCACATGAAAAATGAAAATCAGAAATTATTACTACCTTGTACTGGTCATGAATGGAAGCTTAAACTAGAGACTATACTGTGGATTCTAATCTCTCCATCTACAGTGAATGCAAAGATTTTTTTTTTTTTTCCAAATTAACATGCATAAATGTATGGAAGATCAAGTCAATATAATAATATTTGAACAGAAACTATAAGCATTTAAAACTCATTCCCTCTTTCTCCGTTGTTCTCTACCTGCTTGCTGCTGCTCAACAATAAAATATACAAAATTTTGGTCCAAGTTAATAACTTCAAAGAAATCTGAAGATAAAAGTAAACACACAGCTTAACGCATCATAGAATCCAACAGATATGATAATTTAGACACTGAAAAAGATCATTCTTTTATTTACTCTGCCTCTCTGGTTTCAATGTTAAGCATCTCTATAAAAGAGTGTCAACCAAATAATAATTGACAAGTATACCCAGTAAAAGCACAAGAAACGAAAAGGAAAAAAGAAAAAAAATTATACAACTGCCTGCTCAAGGTGTTGCCAATTATAAAATTGCTTGGAAAACAGAATTAAGTAATGGACATAAAATAAAAAATCAGGTCCTTTATTTGTTGCTCACGACTCAATTTGATGAGTCGTTTAGCTTTCAATTCCTGACTCAAATTCAAAATTTTCAAAGATTATCACATACCGCTTTGGTAAAATCAGTGGTAGATGCAGTGCCTCCTAAATCACCAGTTCGATACTTCCCTTCAGATATTGTCTTCAGTATTGCATTTTGGATTCGGTCAGCTTTATCAGTTAAATTCAAGTGACGCAGCATCATAACAGAACTCAGAAGGAGAGCTGTTGGATTTGCAAGATTCTGGAACCAATAAAATTAAGAAAATAATCAGCCAGGAAGAAGATGGCCATAATTAAAAATTGAATAAATTGTGCCTTGGGTTCTATGGAATGATAAGCACCAACAGAAACAAGAAGTAACATTTATACTAACATAACTAGTTTATCACTAGTTTACTGCATGGGCATTCGAGAGATGGCTGTGGGTTTGGCAAAAAAAGAGAAAAGGAGAAAGAGAAGGTGCAGCGGCATATTAATGGGTCAGTCGATGAATTTTGATAGGATTGCTGTAGACATGATGATACATAGACAAGGAAACTGAAAAGACGGTTAATAGTAGATAGATAGATAGATAGATATTATTGTCAAAATTATAGTAGTATATGGTACTATAATAAAATAACTGTCACCTGCCATTCTTGCAACTTGTGGAAGTTGTTTTAGCATATAGAGTAGTAAACGAATTAAATGATAATTAGAAGAATTGTTTTAGCTTGTGTTAAGTCCTCACTTTCCAGTCTAAATGGCTGATTTACATATGACAGTTCAAAGATTCGCTTTTGAATATTTTTATTATGAAGGGTGTAGCTTAAGATGTCCATTCTACTGCTCACGCTAAATAGAAGCATCTCCGCTTCAGAAATACATCTTAAGGGAATCCAGGATGGCACGGAAAAGTTAACTAGAAGGGCAATGGGGTACAATGCATCACCTATTTACTCTAGGTTAAATTGTTGGGTTTATTACGTTTTACAGGAAAAGATTGAGTTTCTATAATATCTTATCCTTTTCCTATGTTAATAATTTCTCTTTTATTTAAGAAATTGAGCGGTTATAACCATCTCCCCTTCTGCACTCCTCGAGCAATATTGCTAACATGATTCAAAGAACTTTAAATCATTAGGTAATGTGTATCAAGTTATCAACCTCTCGGTCAACCAACCCAAGAGGTAAGCGTTTTACTTTTATTAAAAAATTTCATCAATACCATGAATCATAATTATTTTGTAAATTATCAAATATGGAAAAATTTTAAATTATTGAATTATGAAGCATGATATCATTGCCACATGACATATTGGATCACTTAAAAGTTTGTTATATGATTTTAAAAAAAACATGATAGCACTTAGGGAATTTAAGGTATAAACATTTCTGTTTGATAAATGAAATACAAAGGTATTCAAAATATCAAAATAATGTTGATACGCTTGAGAGGTGGAACATATAATATCGAAATATGGCGAAGTTAGTTGGAAGGTCTTATTTGCAGGCAAACAATTTGCAGCCATATAATGACCCGAATACAAATTTTAAAACCCTCTAGCATCATCATCATTAATTTTGATAAAAGTGAATAAATGAATTATTACAAATTGTGCATTCAACTGAAATATATTTGAAAACATTACATTAGTAATATTGATCACATGCATATATCAATATGTTTAGTTCTGCATATCACCATTTCTCATGTTTATAAGTTTTTAGCAATGATAGCCAGAGTGACATATGTTAGTCTCTACTCATATACATAGTTAGTAATGACTAGGCTACTAATACTATTAGACGTTGCAGCAAATTATTATCTCTTTGTATCATTTTGTTGGTATAAGGCCTCTGTGATTAAAATGAATAAAGGTTGAATAAAAAGTCTTGGACTGAAACAAATAGATATGAACTGATCTCTTTATTAAGGTTTATCTAGGAATGAAGTCCTATATTCATCGAGGGGATTGAGGTTAAGCCCATATGTGAGATCACCAACAGTAAGAACGCAACCTTCTAATTAGCGAGTTGTTCACATGAAGTAAGTTCAATGTGTTAGAAACAAGCTGAACTGGTGATTCTCGTGTGGCGTATTGACCTTTAGAGTAACTCTTCTTTGTAGCATTAGATGCAGTTATGATTTACACTATGTTAGCTACAACCTCATTCCAATGATGACAATGCTCATATGATGAAACTGGGTAGGATGATTTACATTCTTAATAAGTCCAACATACGAGTTGTAGGGGGTATTATATCTAGTTGATTTACATTCTTAATAAGTCCAACATACGAGTTGTAGGGGGTATTATATCTAGTTGCAGTGCCCTTAGAGGACTTACCTATGTGAGAAGAACAATGAAGGTCGAGGTTGGGGGGGGCAGCGGCTGAACCCTAGAAACTCTAATGAGATGATATTTGTGAGCATGGCCACTATTGCTCCACCCGCTTGTTCAATGGATGATTGCATACTGTGTGTATTTGTCAATATCTTATACATGGGCCTAATTCAAGGCCTAGTACATTATGTCCCTCAGATTGTGATAAATATCACTAAGAGAATATTCAAAGCCAAAAGCTACCTACTCTGAATCCACAGTATCAGGTTGTCTGAACTATTTCTTTATGTTTTGTTTATACCTTGCATGTATCCTATAGTTATCCTCGAAAGTCGAGCTCCAGGAAGGGGTTTTTTTTGGAGAGGGGGAGGGGGGGTTATTTTGTAGGAAAAGATTTGAGTTTTTATAATATCTTATCATTTTCATATGTCAATAATTTCTTATCTCTAATGTAAGAAATTGAACAGTTAGAGCATCTCCAACAGTTTCCCCAAAAATTTCTCCAAAATGGGGAAGCAAAAGTCATATTCTCTAAATTATTTTTGCTCCAACTCCAACAGCTTCCCCATTTTAAAGAATCCTGTATTTATTACAATAATAAAAATATTATACATCCCTATTTTGGGATGCTCTTATGCATTGGAACTTCCCCTATGCTTTTTTTTGCAATTACGGATTTTATTTTATATTTATTTTCTCCTCCAACCCGTTTTGAAGAACGTGCTGTATTTATGACAAAGTTCTCTCAAAATATTTGAAGAATGCCCCAGATTTGGGGAAGACTCCCCTTTTTTTCTCCTCCATCCCTATTTTGGGGAATGAGATGGGGAATCTGTTGGACCAAAAAAAACTTAAAATTCTTCAAAAGTAAGAATGCCAATAAAATGGGGAAGCTGTTGGAGATGCTCTTATAACCATCTCCCCTTCTGCGCTCCTCGAATGGAAGAAAAGAAAAGAGAAGAACATGACACTCCGAAGAGTATACGAGTATAAACTGCTTCTCAATCCTCTAACAGGTGCATGAGGTTAAACTGCTCCCTACATACTCCAATAGGTATATGAGTCTAAACTATTTCCCACCGTTGACGGGAAGTTCCTGGAGAATATTACGCTAATATTCTTAAGGATAACCCGGTCAAGTAACTGAGAATAATATCCGAACCAGTTTCGCAAGAAAAGCTGGGGGTGGATAACCAATGTATCGGGAAGTTCCCGGAAGAATACCACATGGGTATTCTTAGGGATATTTGGGGAAGACTCCCCTTTTTTTCTCCTCCATCCCTATTTTGGGGAATGAGATGGGGAATCTGTTGGACCAAAAAAAACTTAAAATTCTTCAAAAGTAAGAATGCCAATAAAATGGGGAAGCTGTTGGAGATGCTCTTATAACCATCTCCCCTTCTGCGCTCCTCGAATGGAAGAAAAGAAAAGAGAAGAACATGAGGAAAAGTTGTTAAACATGGGAAAACATTCAAGAGTTTACGGAGGAAGAAGTGGAATCCATTTGAAATATCTCTCTCCCAACGCCTTTAAAAGGAAACGTATAGAAAGAAGAAAAATACAGAAAGGGAAAAATCTCATCTTCTCCTATAACTCTCTTCGTCTCAATGTCCTAAAATCCACTGTTATAATTTTTGGGTTTTCTTTATTCCCTGGGCAACAATCATCCAAGCAGAGACTTGAGGAGTGCCCGCATCCTCAAGTACTGGTTTGTCTGTGGGCTGTTACTGCTAGAAGATGGATTGCCATTAAAGCTTGCACAAGGGGGGAGTCTATTTTTCTAGAGCAGTGTTTACATAACTGCTCCTTACCGGCCAGTAATCACTACTTCTCTTTTATTTATTTGTTTACTGAATTGCTTTTTACGCAATATTTTTCTAACATAAACGCCAATAAAAGTTCAGAGAAAAGAAACACAAATAAATGATATTTATGATGCCTGTGTTACTTCGTTCCAGAGGAAGATACTTGACTCTAGTCATCACTATAATAGGATGTAAGAGGATGCATGTAGGCTATAGATGCAAATTGCAAATTTAGGGGTGCAAAGTAGATGTCTGCGTACACACAAATTCAAGAAGTTAATATTGCAGAATGCAAACATGTTCTTGTGTAGTGCAACAAAATGAAGCCAGAAATGGGAAGAAAACACATTACTTAATACACATCATATGCTTTTATATAAGGAGTTGAATGATAACTTTGTGGATTAAGAACTTCAGTGGAGAGTATTTTCACGTACCTTTCCAGCAATATCAGGAGCTGAACCATGTACGGCCTCAGCCAGGCAAATGCCTCCCTCACCAATATTGCAGCTGAAGAAAATATTGTATCAATGAGATAAATCAATGTAAAATTACCATGGAATTGGAAGATAACAATGGTTTACCTAGGAGTCAAGCCCAAACCACCAATCAAGCCAGCGCAGAGGTCACTGATAATGTCTCCATAGAGATTTGGCATCACTAATACGTCAAAGAGAGAAGGATTTTTCACAAGCTGTTACAAGAAAGGCAAAACTATGAGTGAACTGAGAAGGACCGGAAAGTATATTGCAGTGGCAAATAGCTCTAAAGCTCTACTCATGCATTTGTAATGAGAGACACTCATTTCTCAAGCATATTTAATTTGTATCTTCAATCATGTATACATGATGAGAGGCATTCATACCATCATGCAGCAATTGTCGATGATTACTTCCTCATAAGTAATCTCCGGGTACCTTTCAGCAACCTCACGGCAACACTACAAACGAGACAAATTAAGCACTTGAATAATTTTACTTTAAAACCTTTGATAAAATTCTCTATTTACGATAGTCGGCATACCTTGAGGAAAAGGCCATCAGTCTTTCTCATGATGTTTGCTTTGTGTATAGCTGACACCCTTTGCCGGCCATTAGTCTTGGCATAATGAAAAGCATATTCTGCAACCCTAATACTCGCTTGACGAGTAATGATCTTGAGACTTTCCACAACTCCTCTCACCACCTTGAGTTAACATCATGGAATGCTTTTAATGACCCTTATTACACATATCATGAAAAAATGATACAGTACAACAAAATTTTTAGTCTATAATACCTGGTGCTCAAGACCACTATACTCCCCTTCAGTGTTCTCACGAATTGTGACCAGATTGACATCATCATATCGAGTTTTGTACCCAGGAAGACTATAACAAGGTCTGACATTGGCATACAGGCCCAACTCCTTTCTTAAAGTAAGGTTTAAAGATCTGTGGCCCTTTCCGATAGGCGTAGCCATTGGTCCCTTCAATCCCACACCATTCTTGCGTACTGATTCCAGACTTTCCCATGTTACAAAGCTCTGCGTTCTTGAGTCCACTTGATCCCCAACAAAATGTTCTTCCCAATCAATAGGCACTTCAGCAGCATTGAACACCTGCAGTGAAACAAGCAACTGTGCTTAGCATTAAACTTAATACTACAACAAAAGGTTAGGGTTTTACAAAGTACAAATCCTAATACAACTACAACAATAACAAAGTTTTTATCCCAACGTTGTGGGTTCAACTACATAAATTCTGACCATTCATTTATATTGCGGTCCATCTCCTCTGTTAAGTTATCATGTCCTTGTTAATTTCTTCTAAGCAAGCTCTTTTAGGTCTACCTATAGTCCTCTTTTTCCCATTTCCTATAATCTAATCACTTCTTATCATTGGTGTACTTAGTGGCCTCACTGGTACATAACCGAACTATATCAATCAATTTTCTTATTTTCCTCACGATAGGAGCAATCTTTAATCTCCTATGGATGCACTTTTTTCCCTATCTTTTAGTGTATATTCACAAGATCATCATGACATTCTTATTTCTACTCCACTCATGTTTTTTTTACATGTTTTCTATCCAACAGTTTGATCCATAAGTATTGATGGTCTTACACGGTCCTACAGAATTTTCCTTTCAATTTCATAAGTACTGACAGTCACATAAAACCCTAGAAGCACTCCTCCATGTTAACCAACCTGATTTGTTTGATGAACCACATTGTTCTCAGTCACGGCATCATGAGAAAAAATTGGTCCTAAATAATGAAAGTGATTTTTCTTAGGTATACCTTCACCATCAATATGCCCTATGTATGCACTCATTCCTCTCCATAGTTTTTCTATAATTACACTAAATGTATTATGTCTTTGTTCTACTAATTCTTAATCCCTTAGATTTGAGACTCCTCTCCACCTTTCTACTTTAGAAATTATCTCTTCCCTGCCCTCAACAGCCGGCGTTTTAAAATTTGGCTGATTTTATCAATTTATCGCCGAGATATTGGAATTGGACCACAGCCGCAACGATTTCTGTAAATTTTTATCATTTATCATTTTTGACCGATTTTGTTCATTATATCGATGTAAATCTGATTTATCGCCCGAATTTTGGAGAGATTTAAATCACCCGATTAGGCTACAAATCACATTCTAACTATTGGTTCAGTTTTGGGTCACTTGTTTTCAAGACTTGCCCCAATATCCACTAAATAAAAGCAAAACAACTCATGCACCTATTCCTTTCCCATTCCTCGATTTCTCAGCCCTAATTTCTCCCCGCCTCCATTGTTCTCTCCCCAAATTCAATTGCTCATAGCTTCTCACTCTCCCTCTCTGTCGCTCGAAGCTTCTCAGTCGAAGACCCTCTCTCAAAGGCATTCCAAGTCAAAAGCTCGATGACCGCGAAGCTCTTTTGAAAACGTTCGACCCTCAAAGCTCAATGACACGGTATGTTTACACTCCCTTGTGTGCTTAGATTAAAATTTAGGACATCACGTTATATATAGGCATTATTGCACACCATCCAATATGACACTCCGATTTTTACTATTTATCCCCCTTATATCCCCAATAACCGCAATCCAATGTGAATTTTGGCCATCTGATATATTCCCCATTGTCAATATTTAAATCCTAGTCGATATCTATCTATATCTCAAATATACTTTAGATACTTGTGCTCTTCCTTTTTATCAAATTACTATTCCAGTTCATTGCCATAATTGAAGTGTCTTCGGATGGCCATTTATACACTCGATTCAGAACTGACAAAAACCACCTGTGTGACTCGGAAATCTCAAACTTTGCCTTCAGTTGTACTTTAATAGTTGTATGGATATGGGCTCGTGTCATGACACAAAATTCTCTGTTCATTGTCCATGAAAGGCATCATAACATCATCATAGCCATATAATGGTCTGATAAGCTTATGATGATAATTTCAATAAATGGCCGCAATTACATCTCTACAAACATTTGCTATTAAATAAAAAAAAAACAAAATGCAAGAAATGAATTGTTCGAAAATCAAATCAAAACCGTGCAACAGCTAATGAATAAACTCAAACCTCCTTGACGGATTCGGCGATCTCAGGACCGATCCCATCGCCGGGAAAGAGCGTAGCTTTGATCGGAGTCGCCGCAGTCGAGAGAGATCGAACGCCCGAAACCTGCTCGAATAAATTCCCTCGGAGGAGACGACGAAGCGCCATCAAATTAACTGAATCAAAATAAAATAAAAATAAAAATAAAAAAGCTTTTGTGGATCCAAAACCCCAAAGTCCACAGAATCGATAGAAGAAAAGTGAAAATTTCGATGATTACTCGAAGAAACCCTAGAGAGAGAGAGAAAGAGAGGGGGAGAGAGAGGAATCAGCAGAACGCGTCGTCCCTCCTCGGTTTTATGCAGCTCGGTTGACCCTGACGAGCGCCAGTTTTATTTTTGCGCAAATTGGTTGGCAAATGGAGTCCTTTTGGTCGCATCAGCGGCCGTTATTAACCTGCTAACACCAGCCAAAATTGACTCATAATTTTCTTAAGTGCTATTAAATCTCAATTAGGCAAACTATTTTACAATTTATAAATAGTTATATGCCTATTATTAGCGGGAAAATAAGGAAGAAGAAAAAACTTCACATGAATATAGACAGTAAAAATAACAATAGTACAAACGAGACAAGAGTCGTCATTAAAAAAAGTCAATATAATTAACAACTTTAAAATGGACGCTAGGTTGGGTGCCAAAAATATATATGTATCAGTATCCATAATGGATATGGATATGGTTACCAAAATTTATAGCCAATAGAATACGGTTATGGAGATGGTTATTCTGTGGAATATGTGGATCCATATCTGAAATATTCAATTATATGTTGTTATAGTCTAGAAAATCAACAAGTGCTAATCTCTCTAGAGAAGCCGACACATGTTAGCCTTCACCTAATCAGATGAATTGAGGCCAAGACTACTCAAACTACTTCTATAGCCGACCATACGGGCCGACAACTTGCGTAGCCGAGTCAAAAGTCGATACTTGTCGGTCACCTCACCCTATTGACCCTATGGGCCGAGAACTTGCGTTGCCGAGTCAAAAGGCGGTACTTGTCAACCACCTCACACGATCGATCCTATGAGCAACCCGCACTCGGTCTATTGTGTCAGCCGACAACTTGCGTAGCCAAGTCAAAAGGCGGTGCTTTCGGACCGTGACCAAACAAAAAGGGAGACGACAGTTACCTCGAACCCCTCGCTAGCCGACTGCTCTTACATTAACTGCTCTGACAAAATCATCGTTACTCCTAATGTGCTATAAAAGGGAACTACACTGCATAAGGTAACTTCTTCTGCTTTTTGGCAACTTTGAATAACTTCGGATATAATTTGTCCTTGATTTTACCACTTAAGATCAAAATACTGACTTGATCGTCGGAGGAATAACTGGAGAACCCAACTCCGCCCTCTCATGAGTCTTTCGTGCAAGAAAGAACAGTGAACCCTATGACCAATCGTCTGAAGGAATTTGAGGACCCTAATCACTCTCATAACTCTAACATAAACCTCCTGTTTGACAACTGACATCAACATATGTCAATCACCCTAATCACTCTCATAAATCTAACATAAACCTCCTGTTTGACAACTGACATCAACATATGTCAATCATACAATTCAAATTGTTTTAATCCTTGGATTAACGGATTTGAAACTTATTTTGATGATCAAAGGACATCATCTTAGTTTTTCAAATATAACAAATATGTTAATGAACTCTCTTGTATCTTACAAACTATATTTTTCGATGTTATTTATTTTTCTCATATCCGTTTTAAGATCTGCAAGCATATTCGCATACAATTTTGCATGTACATCTGTGTCCGAATCCGATTTTAGGGGATATAGCAAGTATCATATCCAAGCCGTATCAACTCTGTTAGCACCCCTAGCATCAGGGCACACAGTTGCACATTTAGGATTCTTACAGTCCCCCCTATGATTTTCCGCTGCAGATCCTCTATGTGACTTTTCCCAAGATTATAGGAGATGTATCATAACACCGTCCGTATCTCAAACCGAGAGCAAGCAAATATCTTCTATACTCGTTCCAATTATAAATATGAATACGGTTTGCATTTGACTTTGCTTTGAAATAATTTGAAATATACATGCCATTAGTGTTCTAGATCTCCATGCACCAAGAGGAAATACGCTGCTCTGACGTTTTCCACTCTACGCTTAGGGGCCGTTTGGTTCATGGGAAGGGCATTGGACAGAAAGCCTGCCAAAGTGCCAGTTTTGGCAGGTTTTCTGTCCAAAACGCCTCTTTTTAGAGGCGTTTTGGGCAGAAAACCTGCCAAAATTGGCACTTTCGCAGGCTTTCTGCCCAAAGCCCAATGCCCTTCCCATGAACCAAACGGCCCCTTAATGTCACAACACTATAAGCAAGACTCAGAAAGAAAAAACGTGATACAGGATATTGACAGATAGTAACCCAACTTCAACAAAATGATCACTGAAGTGACAAGGGCCAGGCTTACATGTATAAAGATGTTATAGATTACAAAACACTGCATAAAGAATTCCTCATTTTCGACTCTCTTTGCCCCCCAAAAAAATTAAACAGAAAACTGATTTCAACAACCTATTTCCACTGGAAACAAAAATCAAAACTGCGATGCGCACTACTCTACATAGTTGCATTAGCGAGATTATGCCAAAGCTGAGAAGTTCTTCGGATGAACACAATTTGAGTTCAGCTTCCCATGTATCTCCCTAAACTTCTCCTTCAATCTATCTATCTGCAGAGATACAACAAACAAAGTGGATTCACTAAGTAACATGCATAAAATGTTAAGAATCAGCACTAAAGATGATACCCTTTTCAGTTCAATCTCTAAGTCTCTTTTGTGCTGTCCAAGAGAGCTCCGCAGCTGAGTGATATCAAAAATACTATCCAAGTCGTCTTCGAATGCAGACTCCAGGTCTTCCCTCAAAAGTGCAGGTAACTTGTCAACCACCGGCATGAGAAGAAAACAATTGAACTGCAAAATTTTGGAATTTCGGTTAAAGAAATAGAAAGGTGAAACTATTATATGCGTGCAACGTGTGATACTGTAGAGGTCCCTTCAAAGAAAATTATGTAGCGATGACAGAGATCGAACTAAGAGCTTCAGTAGAGTAAGTAGCAATTCTAAATCAGTATATGCAATCACCAATACTATATCACTGCAATTCTTCCTCTCTATATGATTTACTATCAAGCGCCGCATAGGAATTTCTTTCTCAGATTTTCATTGATTAACTAGTACATGAAAAGGAGAAGAGAATCACCACAAAGCGACATTGACTTGAAATGCATGAGATATTGGAGTATCATTCAACAAAGAGATAGCACCAAAAGCTTTGAAGCTGGCAATCAATCTTAGGATTTTTTTTATTTAAATACTATGAAGTAGAATATCAGAACGTAAAACAAGATTAAGCCAGATGGGAAGGTAGAGGGTTTACATTGAGATGGTATGCCTAAGCAAGATTAAAAAAAAATCCTAATTTTGCAGCGACTGGTGGAAAAAAACTATAGGAATTTAGAGAAGCGTGCTCATGAAAGAAAACGGCATTCATCAAAATAAACATCTAAGCATCTCCCAACGCTTTCCCAACAAATAACGTTGGCTATGAGTATCATAAGGGGACTACCAGTTAACTTGTAACAATATAAGAACCTATGAAATGGCAGTTATTGGAGAATAAAATACATCATTTTGTCAAAATACATGAGTTTGTCAAGCAATTAGAGATATGATAACTTTCATCATAGTTCAAAATTTGTCTCAGGTATAGAATGATGGTCTAAAAAGGAGATATTAGAGAACAAAACAGGAAGCATTGTGCATGTGTATGGTAGAAAAAGGGGGGGATATAGGTAAAAGACCAGAAAATAGGAAATCCTAATCATAATTTCACGGAAGCATGAGTAAAGAAGAGAATACATGAGAACTGATGTCATAGTTATAAGTTAAAGGTCCAACCAAACAAAAATTGTAGCAGACTATGGATGAAAACAAATGTCCAGTGTCTTCTAAACCTTTAGACATAAATCAATATTCACTTAAAACAACACACAAGACCAGAAATAATAATCAAGATGAAAACTAAGGTAACTATGAATACACACCTTTAATTCAGTTGACACCAAAAACTGTTCTTTAATGCCATGGAAGATCTGATGCACTAATGCATACACAATCCTTTCAGAAGACGGTGCAAGCCTCCGATTCCATAATGTACTATCCAAAAGATCAACAAGTCTTGTCTCTGTTGTATGACTACAAGAGTTTGTATCTGTCTTCTTGTTATCAAGTTTTGTGTCATTGTTAACAGGCCCCAAGGATGAGTTTTGCTGAGTAGGCGCTGAACAAGAAGAATTTCCACCAAAAGAAGAGTGGTCCATGCTAGCAAAAGAGTCAAGGAATTGGCGGAGACCAGCACGATTCTGCGAACAAATGTTATTATTATAAGGCTTTTGCAAGGAGCACTTGTCAAAGCATACAGCAGAAATGAGTTATGACCTTGTTATGGAGGGACCAGGTAACATAGCGAGTCGTGCACACCAAATCTTCCATGCATCTGCAGTAAACTATTTAGTATTAGTAGAAAATAGTACTCACGAAGCAAAATTCCCAATAACTTAGGTTTGACAACTGTGATGAGCAATGCAAGGCTCATCAAACCTTTGTACCTCTGTTCAGCCACTTATTAATGCAGTTTTAAAAATCAAAATGTTATTATGAACACAGTAACTGGGCTGTAATTGTTCTTCAATTTGTACTCAAAGAACTGAAGTCACATAAATGCTGATAAAAAAGAAAGATGTTAAGTTACAATCACTTACTTGTCACGGCATGCTCGTTCAGTGGTCTCAGCAAAATTGTTAAAAGCAACCTCAACACGCTTTAGGAACACCTCATGGCCACTTAGATGCTCACCATCTTTCTGTCAAAAGTCAGTAATCACATGAAAGAAAAGACATGATGAAAACATGATCGAGTCATTCATGATTTTTTATAAACTGTACCTGCAGAAGATATATTGAGATAGGGAGCAACCTCTTAAGTATATATAGAAGCCTATAGCCCAACTGTTGGAGGAAAAGGAAAAATGTCATATGGAGTAAACGTAACAAGCATGTAGAAGATGTTCTGTAATTACTGAAGCAGCCAACTTAATGATCAATATCTTACATTGGCTTAAAAAGGACCGGGTACTACCAGGCACCAAATATGTGCACGAGAAAAAACTAGGATATAATTCCAATTGGCTCTTTGGCTCCTACACGAACATGATTCCCCATAGCAAATAGAATTATGACATCTCTTATCTAAGTCTTTAGGAATTGCTCCTCTGCATTGTTTTAAATATCCCGACATGACATATCTATGTCACCTGATATCAAGGTTTTAAATATCGGCCGACATGTCGGACATGTCGGACGACATATCGGTTTGAGGGCTTGACCGACACGACATGGACATTTTCAACTCGTATATCGGTTTTCAGGGCAAAATCGGAAATATCAGGGTCATATCGGGCATATCGGCCTATTTTTTAGCTTTAAAAAATCAGCCGATATAGTACTTTTTTTTAAGTTCTGTTTTTTGTTATCCGGTTTGGGTTTAGTGATAAATACCCAAACACGTTTGACCCGTTCTCATGTTTAAGGGTTTCTTATGAACCCGATAGAAAGAATTTATGAACCCAAATCCATATATTATTTATCTTTTTATATGTTTAGTCTATAGAATTTATAAAGTATGCTTATATTGAATTTATGAATGCTTAGATTACATTTAGGACATAATATTATACATATACGCACTACCCGATATGGTAATCCGATATTTAGTCAATGTCCCCCGATATATCCCCGATTTTCGCTATCCGACATGAATTTCAGCCATCCGACATGAACCCGACATCCGACATTTAAAACCTTGCCTGATATATACTTTTATAGAGCTTGTTGCAACCGATATGGTCTCTATCCTTTACTGCGTTTTGGCTCTTTTGGGCGACATATACCCGATATGGCCGATATATCAGCCGATGTGTTGGCCGATATATCCTTTTAGATGCCTTGTCGCAAAACAATATACCATGTTTGGCAATTTTTCAAGCGAAATATCATGATTTTCTGATTATATCAAATGACAGTTTGACCTCAAAAACGTCAGACGAAATGTTGCAATAGCGATTTGTACTTTTGCTTGTTTTACAAGGTTGATTAGTGATCCTAAACATATGTTATTTATATTTTGTATGCTTAGATTGCATTAAGTACGTTGAGATTACATTTTAGGCAATATACTATATATGCAAATATCCGTTATGGCATTCCGATATTTACCACATATCTCCGATATTTCCCTAATAACCGCAATCCAATATGAATTTTGGCCATCCGATATTTCCCCGATATCCGATATTTAAAACCTTGCTCCTTTGTTGCATGAGATTAAACTATTACCTAAATTGGCATGTCTGCTGACTTCCCATAGGTCATCAAAGTTATATTGAACGGCCATCAGTTCAGCATGCTTGCCTTGGGCATGAAGTTGGCACCATCCAAACAAGGGTTGATTTTAGTGTACCAGTTGCAAAAGCTTGTTCTATACTTTAGGTAACTTTTGCGGTCTTCCTATCTTACCCCTTTGCTAGTTTCCTCTATGTTTCCTAGTTTCACTTCTCTTACTGGGGTCGACAATCTGTCTCTTAGACATGACTGGAACCCATGTTCCTTTCTCTCGTAATTGCTTATAGCCCCACATTGCATCTTAGTAACTACATATACAATCAAGAACTGTTACAGACATCACTTTCTTTCCTTCTAGTTTTTTCCACATTATGTATCTGACATCTTCAAAATAAAATGCTTCTTGCAACAAGTTATAGCAATGAAATGAACATTTATCAATGTTGAACATGCACAGGCAAAAAGGTAAGGTAATAATCAGAATGCTTGAAAACCAGCAATATACAGCATATAAAGGTAAATGCACCTGATGGAGGAAAGGCTCAAAGGTATCACGGGCTTTTGCGACAGCAATTACACAAGCAGTTCTGCATAACAATGTGTAAAGGCCAAAAGTTAACATTTTATAGAATGAAAGAAAACTGACATTAGAAGTTCAGGATGATGATAACAGAAGTTTGTGAAGTACCTAGAGTAGTTAGTACCATCATGAATATCTTCGACTCCACATGCATTTACAATTTCCTCCCTAGTAATTGGAGGACATTTAACACCACCAACAACGAGACGAAATTCTGCCATTGCACGGTGATATTGTGCACCACCATAAAGACGCATCCCAGCATTCTGAAAACAAAATATGAAAACAAAAACGATGAACATATTAGTCCAACAAATGAATAAACTCTATGCAATAAACTTTGCCATAGATCACAACGAAAACAGATGAAGATCAGATGATCATGGAATTGTCTTTTAGAATCAAAGAAAAATATTGGAGAAAAAAACATGAAACTTTTCTAAGCAGAAGAAATGCCTAAGATTGGAAGCACTATGAAAGAGAACTCGGCGTTCCATTATATTCAATTCTTGCACAAAAAGAAATGCATTTAGATCCATTCTGTAACTTACAGGCATCATTTTCTGCGAAAACTGACCATCAGCTCCTATAAACATTCCACCATTAGTTCTCTCGTCTTGTAGTGTTTCTCCTGTGGCCAATTCACCTCAAGAATAAGTACTGTCATAAATGAGTAATGACAATGACTTCCTTATGGGTAAAAAAATGTTAGACCTCCATCATCAAAGGCAAGTAACTTTAAGAAGCTTTGATCCTCTAATTTGAAACTACTTGACCTTACCAAACTTATCAGGAGGTGCTACCACAGTACCCTTCAGTAACAAAGATAACTGCAATAATGAGAAACATGATGTCAAAGAAAACCCATACACATATAAAAAGAGTTCTAGTTCCACCAGATAAGAAAATTTTCTACAAGACCTCCACTAATCATTTGCAGATAAAAAATAGGCATTATTCAATTTCTGACAAGTCTCAAATTCAATTTGTTCATATGCAAATGCAAAGAAAGTTAAGAAAACCTTAGCCAGAAACGAGTCATGGAACGCACGTCCCTTCTCCTTTAGCTTCATTTCATCCAAATTGCTGTGCAAATAGATATTCTATAGCAGTCAGCTTAAAGAAATGTTGTTATGGTTGTGATACAATAAAAAGGTTTTATTCCTACTGTTAAGACATTTTAAGCACCAAGATGGCTGAGACGTTAATATCAATAAATTCCAAAAGAAATATTTATAAAAATTAAAAAGAAAGGCCATATTGTCCAAAAATTTTCTAAAGCTCATAATTCTGCATTATGGACACATGTTCAAAGGAATAAATTATATACCAGATTTCCTGATTGATGTCGCGAAGCTTTCTTGTTGTGCTTCGATATTCCTTGTCAAGAAGCGGGATAATCAGCGGAACACTTTCCATGTACCTAAACAAAAACTCAAAAGAAAAAATTAATAAAAAGATCATCAGTACCAAAGAAACATTGATTCTTATATACTTTTTCTGTAGTAACTCCTCCAGAAACAACCGAAGGCTGCTAACACCAATTCTGCTCCTTTCCTCCTTTGATAACAATCTACCCAACTTTTCCTCTAAACACGCAATATCTTCCAACTCTCTCAAGGAGATGGCCTGCACATCGTCAAACAAAATTGCAATTAAAATGGAAGTCATTAAGTTAGGTGATCTTAGAAACAATCAAGTAACCTATTCAGGTATACATTTTCTTATATGCATTTCAAAAAAGAAAAAGGAGGTTCATTTTATATAAAAAAATTGGAAACTTCAAAATTGTTCACTATTTGGACTGTTGAGTTATGAATATTAGCAGAATTTTCTGGAGAAACTTGACCTTGGTCCTTGGGACATGGAATGCTTTACTGAGATTATAAATTGTTTATGGTAATTTGATTTTATCGGTAAATATATTGTCTGGAAGACTGGAAGATAGATAGTTTGATGCTCTTGATATAAGAGATTTGGCTACAGAAGGATTGTGACACGCAATTTTAACTATTCCATGTTTTCTGGGGCACAGGAATTTCTGCACTCTGTAACCTAAGCCCATACATCAATAAATTGTTTAAAGAGAGGAGAATATTGAACAGATGGCATCCCGAGCAATGTCAAAAATAGAGTGAAAACTATGAGTAGTGCATGAAATAAAATAGAACAGAAAAATAAGTACACACCACAAGATATTTCCTTAAACTTTTGCCTGAAAATCAGTTTCAATTCCTCTTTGATACATTGTAAAAAAAATTGATAGAAACTGTCAGCCCAAATGACAACTTACACCATTTCATGTTCATTACTCAGTTTCCTAATATGAGAACTAGTGACGGGGAGAAGAGGGGAGGAACAGAGGAAGCTTAGCTGGATATGGAAAACTAATTTCCAAGCATAGCTGGAGTTGGATTCTAACTGTATACAAAAAATCTTGTTTTAACTTAATAAGATGCAGAAAATCGTACTTTTTTAAATTCCTCATTTGAACTGTAAACAGAATCACGTTCTGAGCCAACTCTTCCAGAAGGAATGGACGTAAAGAAAGGTGAATCGCCCAATAAGCAGCCATCCAATATACGAGCAGGCGGTCTAAGAAAAACTTCAACATCTGAAGACCGTGCAAATTGAGGGATCTTTGTATCAAGTTTCGTGGATACTAGAACAGTCCTTGATAGCTCAGGATCAATCTGCAAAATAAGTATGCAAAGGTATAAGGTTTATTGCTGTAATATTTAATAACTTGACGAATATTTAACTTATAGTAGCGAAAAGATTACTGCAAAAGTCCAAACAGGACATATAGACCTGCATAACTATTCTGCGTGTAGTGGCATTACTCCAATCACTGCAATCCTCAAGGCACAATATGATGAACTCTTTATGCTGCATTTTAGCTCGGACAAGTGCTTCAACTGCACGAGCTTGAACCTGCAAATATCTCATGCAGTAAATAGTGGGTTAACGCAAACAGCATAGAGGAACCTAAACTACTCTTTGTTGCAAGAGTTGACTAGCTTCAAATGCATGAAATCCTTGACTAGGAGTAAAATTTATGTTAACTTAATACGAAAACACTTTTAACACTAAAATATTGCTAACATAATACAATCAACTTTAAGCATTTTGAAGTAATCAACAAAGTATTTTGACTGCTGCACATTATGCAACATGTTTGCATCCAACATGGTAAACAATATGTCAACTTGATAGCACCCTATAATATACTTTTTGAGGAATCTGAAGCAAATATTATCAAATAATAAAATCTAGCGTGTCTTTTACATGTCTTTACTGCTCAAACATATTCAGTGTTACATTTAAAAACCATAAATTATAGTTTTATCAAGTAAAAGTTCTCTGAACAAATCAAAATTCGCTTCCAATCACTAACAATTTCCTATGTTGCTTTATGAAACATAGGCAAACTGACGTTCATACCAGCAATGCACATGATTTAAGCTGTAGAACCAAAATAAACAACAACGAATAAAATACCTGCAAAGCTCGATTCTTTTTACCAGGGGCAGGAAGAATCAGACCGGGCGTATCTAATATCGTAAGATTAGGACAATACTTATATTCAACTCTTATAATAATCTCTTTCTCCGAGAACTGACAAGGCTCATTCTCCAGTCTCATATTCTCTGCCTCAATATAACCCTATAATTTAACCGTAAAAAGCCATTTTAATCAATCAAAACCGAACAAAAAAATTACCAAAACAAAGGTAGGATTTTGAGATATCAGACCCCGAATGTCATCTATTTTGAAAGGTCCCCAAAACATAATATTATGAAATAAGTTTCCTTCTAAACCCATTAAAACCCACCCAATGTTATATGCTTACCAGTGCAAATTTTATGGTAAATGTGCAAACTTTTTCGTCCAATGTGCAAACTTTAATGGGTTTAGAGGGAGTGGTTGCCTTCATGCCTCACAGAAATGGAGAGTGAAGTCGGGATATAACTAAAAACAGAAAATTTGAAAGACTAACTCTAATTTCTTTAATCTAGAGTGGCCAATTTCCAGCTAAAGAAACCAACTTGAGGTAACTAATCCATTTTGGGGACAAATATCTCGAAACCCAAAAAAGGAAAACCTACCTGTATCTCCTCGAGGCTCATTCGACGATCCCCACAGCCTTCTACGTCGCCGTCTCCGGAGACGAGGCAGCAGCGGGGGAGGCTGCACGAGGGGTTGTAGGTCATGTGGAGGGTTATCGGGCGGCGAGTCTTGGTCCCGCCGCCGACGTGGTTAAATTGGAACCCCATTAGGGCTTCGACGAGGGCGCTCTTGCCGTCGGTCTGGTGGCCCACCACCAGGATCGCCGGGGCGTCGAACGGCATCGAGAATTCCTGCGCCAGGCCGTGGAGCTCGTTGTAGGCCTCGTACAGCTTCGAGCTCGAATCCAGGGTTTCGTTGGATTCTTCTTCTTCGTTTCCTCCTCCTTGTTTTTGGTTTCGCTCCATTTCTTGCTGGGGCTTTTGGATGAACGACGAAGACTGAAAGGACGGGAAGGGAGAGTAGGGAGAGACACGTGAGGGAGAGGACGATCACGTGATTTGGCTGGGGAGGATTCTCCGTCGCGCATTTTTGTCCAATGCCGTGGAGGGCGGCCCACAGCGCAGGCCCACAGTGGTCCTTACAACGAGCGTTCGAAGTTTTGAAATGGTCTGCCTCAGTTAAAAATCAGAAGTAAAAAAAAAATGCTCCATTTCGGAAATTTTTCTTAAATTCAGATCTCCGTATAAATTTTTCTTATGTGCAGTAGATATGATCTATTGCACAGGAACTCTCTAGATATTAAATTTCATAGGATTTCAACGTCATTAACCTGGGTATCATATGTCATCAAAATCAATGTTTCAGAATTCTCGTAGAGTTGTTTATGAAATAATTTTGGGTGACACTAGTGGCACACTCCCAACCACACCTCCAACCACACCCCCTCTCTCATTTGCTACAGTGCACCAGGCCCCACATGGGATTTTAAAATTTTAAAATCTCATGTGAGGCCCGGTGCAGTGTAGCAAATGAGCGAGACCACACCTCCAAGCACACCCCCTCTCTCATTTGCTACAGTACACCGGGTCCCACATGGGATTTTAAAATCTCATGTGAGACCCGGTGCACTGTAGCAAAATGAGAGAGGAGATGTAGTTGGAAGTATGGTTGGGATGTGCCCCTATCATTTTCCAATAATTTTTCATCCCGTTATACATGATTGAAAACACATGGAAATTTTTTAAATTTTTATTTCTAAATACTTTATGTGCAGTAGATCACATCTTTCGGTTTGGGTTTCCATTTCCGAACTTAAAATCTTAAAATCAAGTTCATAAATATCCAAATATGGAATACTATTCATATTAGCCCAGCTCAACTCCTGATCTATACTGGCACATATTTTGTTTGCATATCTTTTGTGTTGGATTTAGGGCTTCACTTAATGAAACAAGAACTTTAGGTCAAAATAATAATAACAATAAATAAAGAAGAGTTTTGCAAGTAATAGTTCAGCTTTAAAGAAAATGTTATGTCGCTTCAGATACATAATAGATGTTGTTATCGAAAACTTATCGGCATTGATGCACCGAATGTGCAACTAACTTGACCAACTTGTGTGTCCGTGTGTGATCACATTCTAGACTAATCACATATATGCTTCAAGAACAAGATCTCATTATCCAGCAAGTACAAACTTATACTATCAAAATTTCAATGAAAAACTTAATGAAAAGTGCAAATCCGTCAAAGATTCACATTTACAGGCACTCCGAGACTAACAACATCATCAATATCTTAAGGATTTACTTCGGCTGATCTTAAATTCTCATGGCATACCATCAACCAGCACAAGTCATATGAGCATACAACCATAAACGCTCAAGCATAGAAACAATTACAGCCTCCATTGCCTACAGTGACATCAAACCATGAGCTTTGCCTATGTGACCCAACCATCTCGAGCATTAACTGGATTCATTTTTCTCCAGTGCTGTGGCATAAAAACAAGGTGTCATGGCGTGAAAATGGAGCAAGGAGTAAATAATAGAAATGAAAAGTTTGCTTACTGTTGTAGTTGAGAAGCTTCTCGATAAGGTCAACATGAGTCATCAGCATTCGCCTGCAACAGTAGCGGACTAGGCCTAGTGCATCGAGTGCATCCCTATGGAAATGGCATGTCCAGCCTCAGTGCTCTTCTTGATGGTTGCATGTAAGAAAGATATGACAGAAGAGATGCATGCTTGTGATGCTTCCCTCAGTAGATAGAAGAAGAGAAATGCTGGTTTAAAGTGCAACAGTAGGAAGTTTATCATTCATGCATCTTTGACTGCACTCATTGTACTGGGGTGTGGCCACTCATACCCCCTTAGATATTTTGTTAACCCTTACCCCATAAAACTTGCACAATATTAATTCGTTCCTCCTCAATTTAGATGGCAATTTAATCTTTTCAAAAGGTAATTTACTTTCACATGCCACGTGACACCTCAACTGACAGCGCATGGGAGAAATAATGTTCTCAAGAGTTCATGGGATATAAGTGCTAATAAAATAGTATTTTAGGCAGATATACCCTAACAATATAGGGAATGTATTTGCAATTAATCCTAGCTTGTACTACATGCAAACTTCCAAACTATCATGGTCGAACGAAAACCAATTACACTATTATTTGATGACTTCTACACAGCTATATTATGCAAGTTACGTCAATTAGTTGGACATTTATTAAAGCCAGAATTGATGCAGCATATGTTTTGTGTTTGTAACTTTTAACAAAGTGAAAGCTTGGCAGAGATATAAATGTCATCCAGACAATGTTAAAATATACAATTTGAGCATTTAAGCTTTAATAGGTTTTCAAATATTCTGAGGTGCTATAAGAAAGCTGCTGAGTGAATTAAGATACCCAAGAATATTGTAATGTCGGTATAAATTGTAAAAAAGAATTTCTCAGGCCACATAGGTTGTTAATGTGGAGGAAATCGCTGATGCTTTTTGGAAGAAATCGGGTAGTGCCAAGCCCGGACAATCCAAGAAAAGAGGGTGATTTTCGGCCAGATTTCAACGTGCAACTTCAACGAACTGTAATTTTGGTTCCCTCTATAGATCGGTATTATTATGTAGTTTCAGATAGCTCGAGAGGTGCTCTACGCCTTGAACAACATTGTCATTCATACCAAGTTTCAGGGTCAAAGAAAATTTCTATTTAGGCTCACCCGTCGAAGAATTTTGGTCTCTTTAGTTTCCATTTTCTATTGAAAGTATTTTAGGAAGTCTATTTTTAGGAATTACTAGTTTGGCACTGTTGCATTGTTTTATACTTTTATGACCTATATAAGGGGGATGAATTTATGTAGACAATTTATGTTGGCTTTTATATCATCCTGAAGTTTTTATCCGAGGATTTCTAGGGTTCGTGCCATTTCGCCAGTACGATAACGAGCAGCTATTCTCTTTGATTAAGCTTCTGCTACATCAGTTGTGGTTTCAAAACATCCTTCTGAGCTTGAAACAAGAAGAGCCTAAGTAGCAAAGCCTCGTCTTGACTGTAGATCAGTACTCAGTAGTTGCGACTTTGGGATTCACCAAAACAGTCTAGCTTGATTATAGGTCTCGTTGTGAGTTTCTTCATTGAATTAGGACTGTAGTTTCAAAAAAGCTCCAAGCCCCAAATGCATGACCTTTGGAAAGATCCAATTCATAACGGAATGGAATTTCATGTAGATGCAAGGAACGAGGAATAGATAATGGAACCTCATTTTACATTAGAGCATTGGTAGTGCGATGGGGCATAACATTAAGATAAGAATTATTAGAATATTACATTGGTCGCAATTATTTTGAAGAGGTCAGATTCAGTTTTACCAGAAAATGTTACGAAAAGTCTTCTAGTAGAAGAGCTACACATGATAGAAAAGGTTGTTTTATTTTAGGTGTTTTGTGCATTTAAGATAAATGCAGAAGCCTTAGCATACACAAGTACCGTAATTGCCGGAACTAAGAACCGAATAATGTGAGTGGAACATTGAATAGATTTGTGTTTCAGTTATAGCCCTCTATTTTCCTTTTCACAGGTTACTATCGATACCATGAAGGAGTGGACAGGTATACCTCTCTAGAAAAGGGAAAAAAAATGGGAAGAAAGAGCTGACATTAAGAAAGTACAATACAAGAGGATAACTGTTAATGAGATTAAGTCAATTGCTCGCCAAATAATCAGCATAACGCTCCAGCTAACTTGTTCTCTGGCCCTCTTCGGTTGCTGCATTGGTCAGGTTTGCCTCATTAATAAGCCCATATCTACAAACACAGCCTGCTGCTCTACTTACTGATTTAAAAATAAATAAAGCTTTTACAAAAGCTTGAATAACATGCAAACTCAACCCATCATCTTCTACAAACCTAGCTCAACAAACTCTAGCCTTCTTCATCTTCTTACTAAGTACAGCAAGCATCAACCCATATTGCCCTCTGCTCATATTCTCCCAGAAGAAAGAATTGGTTTACCCTTAATTTTAAGCTCAAGACGTAAATTCAATTGATTTTAGAAAACATTAATATATTATAAACATTGTTATTAACAAGCCAAGAAAAAGACACAGAAAATGTGAAAGACCATGGAGCTCACCCCCTAAAAGCTAGTTGTTAGAGGGAGAGAGCACAAATCTCTTCGTATAACCAACAATCATTCCCATTTAGTCAGTGTGGGACTAAATGGACCCTAACATACAACTACATTTCCCGAACCCAACCACAACCTCGCACTAGTCCAGTCCAGGTAAAACATTGCAACCCCAACATCACCCTTTTGGCTTTACACTAGACTATTCTCGAGCTAACACTACAATGTCAGCGTCACCACCCATGCCGCTCGCTTGAAACTGGGGAGGTGGCGTTGTTTCTTTATATCATTTGCAACAGACCCAGGAGAACTCGCCCTTAAAAGCTAGTTGTTAGAGTGACGCCACACAAATCTCTCATAACTCCAAACATCCATGAACTAACAAGCATGAACAATCACAGGAAACCAAGCACTAATTTTTCTCGAAAACTCCAATGAACAAACAATTCAACGTGCAAAATTATCTAGTAAATAACTTCTTTATTTTTTTGTTCGATGCTTTCGAATCAGCATGAAAATAAAAGAAGGTTAAAGTTGAAATGGAATAGATTCTCACCCCTCAGTGTAATCCGCCTGCAAGAGATCGAGATACGTGTCCCATTTGTTCCCAATCACCTGAACCAACAACAGGAGTCAAGATCGCATCAAAACCCTAGGAAATTATATCAATCGACAGCAGGTAGAAAACCCTAGAACCGTAGAGCACTAAGAACTCGAACAGTGAAAGAGATGAAGAGCGAACCTTTCCGCAAGTGAAGCAGCGAACAGGGATAATCATCTTGTTCTCTTTTATCAAAATCTTTCGAAAAAAGCTGGGATTTTTTTGGGGAGGGTTCTTAAATGAAGAATGAAGGGGCTGAAAATTGAATTAATGGTGCCAAGTGGGCCAAGAGAGGCGCCGCCCGGTAATTTATAAAGGGCCTATTTGAAGGCTCAGCCCATTATATAATTTATAATATTTTTAAAAAAATTATTAGGGAAATTTTTAATTTTAATTTTAGTTTTAGTTTATGAGGTTAATGGGCTAAATACCCATATTGGTATTTTAATTCCACCTTAATTTCCAACAAGGTATTTTAAATAGGCAAACCCGCTTTAAGACATTTTAATTGATCCAACTAACCAATAAGGCATGGTTTCTCGTCGACGGGCAAATTTCCGGCGAGATCTCGTCACGTGCATGGCACATGATGTCTCAAAACTCGTTTTTAGCAGCGGCGACGACAACAATCTCGTCATATTCAGCCGATTCGATGGGGTTAGCGATCTCAGGCGGCATCATAATCGTTATTTTATCCTACTTTGGGCTGAATATGACGAGATTGTTGCCGTCGCCGCTGCTAAAAATGAGTTTTGAGACATCACATGCCATGCACGTGACGAGATCTCGTCGGAAATTTGCCCGCCGACGAGAAAACATGCCTTATTGATTAGTTGGATCAATTAAAATATCTTAAAGCGGGTTTGCCTATTTAAAATACCTTGTTGAAAATTAGGGTAGAATTAAAATACCAATATGGGTATTTAGCCGAGGTTAATGTATACAAGTTTAATTTTACGATGAAGGGGTGTTTAGCAAAGTGAAAAGAAAACTGAAAGTGTGAAACCTATTTTTTCTACAAGGTTCAAAATGCAAGTGAAACATAGTATTTGTTTGCGAGAAATATTGTTAAAGCTAAAAAGTAGAGATTAAAAGGCAATATCATTTATTTATTCAAAATTATTTATGCTTTCAATGATTGTTTATAATTTTTTTTTTAATTTGGAGTGGTATACATTTTTGTTGGACCCTAGAGGGGGGTGATTAGGGTCAAGAGGCTCTAATATGCAATAAAAATTAAACACAAGCAAACCACAAACAGGAAATGCAATCAAAGTAAGAGAGAAAGAGTTAGGAATCGTTATCCTTGACGCGCGATGTGTTAACGAGGTTCGGCCCGCTGACCTACGTCCCCGCTCCCCACTCTCGAGGAGAAATCCACTACACACCCGGTTTGGAAGCCGGAACTTCGTCTACACAGTGATCCCACACGATCTCTCACTACACAGTTTGATCTCAACAGATCACTCCCTCACAGTTGATCTACACAAGATCTCACTCACACAGCAGAAGCAAAAGATGCAAAACTCTCTCTTTACACAGCCCCTATGGCAAAGAGAAGGATTACTGAAGCTGGGAAGTGAATCACACACAAAAACCACAGAGAAAACAGATTTGAAAATTCTCTCAGGAAGACAGCGTCTCTCTGGTTTTTGCAAAACGTTAGGGCAAGGAAGAAGAAGAAGTCTGGGGTTTAAATAGAAGAGATTAATCAATTTAAAAAAAAACTAAACCCAATCTTCCCAGTTAAGAAAGTAATCTCCTTTTCAGACCCTTACCTCAGACTGTGCCAAACACTAATAAGTGAAAGCACAGTGTTCTAGGCAAATGACCGTTTGAAAAAAAAGTCGCGGCTGACCGAAGAGAATTTCGGTCGTCCGAAATAATCGTTCGGTCGACCGAAAGATTACGTCGGTCGACCGACCGAAAATCCGGTCGACCGACCGAAAATCCGGTCGACCGAGAGCCGCTTTGAAGAAATAGAAAACACACCGGTCGACCGACCGAAAATCCGGTCGACCGACCGAAAATCCGGTCGACCGACCGAAAATCCGGTCGACCGACCGAAAATCCGGTCGACCGAGAGCCGCTTTGAAGAAATAGAAAACACACAGAAGTATGAAAGCGTGTGTGTGATTCCCAATAGCTTCAAGTGAAATCAGTAACTCTTTGCCTACATTCTAGCACTAGAGAGAAAATAGAAAACAAGCTAATATCCTCACATAGAATATAGTTCTTGAGTCTTGATAGCTTTAAGTTTGATGAAGCTTCTTTATGGATTTGTTGTTCTTGAATTAACATAGCTTCATCATTATGCCTCCTCCTCCTTTGGATATCATCGTTGTAGCATATATTCCATCCATCCTCCATTAATGGCACTAACAAGCTTGATAAATGAATTTACTACATTTGCACTAAATAAGCCATTAGTACCGTTAATAGTGGTTGTAAAACATCATCAAAACATAAGGGCTAACAATTTTAACACTTTTCAGGATGACTTCAGCACTAATTTTGTTAGAGGAAGTTAAAACGAAACATAAATTTGCACAGGTTTTTAATAAAACAAACACGTGAAATAATGTGTGATATTTTCACGCTTCTATTTTCCACTTTCATGCAAGCAAACAACTCCTAAAGTTGAACGTCACGATTCTCTTTTTTTTTTTTTTTTTTTTTTTTTTTTTTTTTTTTTTTTCCCTTCTTTTTTTTTTTTTTTTTTTTCTTTTTTTTCTTTCTGTTTTTCCCCTTCCTTTCCCCCCTTCCCTGATTACGTGCTTTCATTTTTTATCGATTTTTCGTAGTAAATTCTTCCTTTGCAAGCATAGGATCTAGATTTTTTTTAGTTTATAATCTAGGTTAAAATCAGGGGGTTTTGTGAAATCTACCCTTAAAACATACAATTTAAGGGAGGCCATTTATCTAAGGGGGTGTTAGTCAATTGGGACATTTTCATGCAAAATGGGATAACTGTTAAAGTGGAATAATATTTCGCTAGTGGGATATTTTAGCGGGATAACTAGGAACAATTTTGTGAAGCAGGATATTTTGATAAAATAACGTGGGATAAATTTTTATAATCATGAAGTATATATTTATGCATTTTGAAGATATAAATACTATTTATGTATTTTAAACTTACTATTATTAATTGATAATTGCTTACAAGAATGTTCGTTACTATTAAATAACTTTTGGTTAGACTATAAGATATTGACAATTATTATTATGATGATGGTCTAATGATGGTGATAACCATAATAGGAAATAAGTAAAGAAAAAAATAAAAAATAACAAAATAAATACGAGTTCTAGTTTTTTACCACATAGTTCCAAGCTAAAACTTGGAATAATTTGAGAGACTAGAACTCTCATTTTTGTATAGAAAAATAAAAAAAGTGGGATAATTTTGTACAATTATCTCAATTCTAGTTTTGTTAAAGTTCTGCTTGACTAACACTGTAAAATTTTATTCTAGTTTTAGTTCTATGTGACTAACAAATTTTATTCTAGTTTTAGTTCTATGTGACTAACACCTTAAAATTTTGTTCTAGGTTTAGTTCTATGTGACTAACACCTTAAAATTTTATCCCACAGATTATCCCAGTTCTAATTTTAAGTTCTAGGTGACTAACCCCCCCTAAGAGAACAAAATATGACCAATTCATGTTATGTGAATGCCCCCCTCACACAGCTGAAATCGTACATCTCTTAACGTGCAAACAATTCTCATCTTATCACACGATCCAAATTAAGTGATGAGTCATATAAAAATACGCAATACAAATATGCAATGTGTTAAAGTTGGAAAAGGATACTTGTTGATTCAAATTTCTTTCGTTTGGCCCTCAACTTTGAATTCAAACCCTCATTATTTGGACCATAATTCTATCCAGGCCAAAGAAATCCACGTATGGAAACTTTCATATCATCTCCTCGCGAAGAATAATGGTGACAATTCAAAGCTCGTGCAAAAAAAAAAAAAAAGGAGCAATCCAATCCTCCAAAAATTGGTAGTCATTGATGAAGACGTTACTTGTTTTCTTTATGCAAGTGTTTTATTTGCTGAGTCATTGTTGGTGAAATTTCAGAGTCATTGTCATGGATTTCTTTTTTTTTCCCCCCCTGAGAGAAAGATTCAGCAACTGCGCGCCAGGTCGTACTGTGAATAGGAGTTACAGGATGCGTGCAGGACTTAGGTGGCTCCGTTCTTTTGGTCGAGAGTTAGTTTGCGAATTAAAAAAGTTCAGGCGGTTTAGTGCAACACTTTTGGAAACTCGGGGGGCTTTCCTGAAATTGACCTTTTTTTTTTGCTACTTGATGTATGAGTTTAACATATGGCAAGTCCAAAACACGTTATTTTCATTTCAGCAGGTAGCTTGTTGATGCAATTTTAGAAGGGAAACATCTTCATTTTAAATGATTTTATTACCCCCTTTGTATGTCGTAATTCCTGAGCATGTATACTATATATGATATAATTGAATATTTTGTTAATATATTAAACTCCAGCCAAATATCTCTTATTCTTACTGCATGATGGGGATGCTCTCTAGTTATGATATCTTATTTTGCGCATACAAGCTTTACACGGTTCTAATAATGATCAGCACAACGTAAACACATCAGAATCCTCCCGCCCTCCCAACCCCCCCCACGCCTCTATTTATTTATCAAGAAAATTTTATCAATTTCAATCGCAAGGATATTTCACATGCAAAATTCACCAAGTATCTTATCGTCCCACTCCTACAAGACTTTTGTGCCCAAGATCGAGGTCCCAATGAAGAACCTTAAAAACAAAATATTTACAAGAACCAAAGCCCAACACTTGTTTTAATTGGTAGAGTGCAATCTAATATATAATAGAGCCTGTATTTTTGTTAATAGTCTAGTATTAGGTAATTAAGTAGGTGTCTGCATGTCATGATTGGATGATATGCCTGCATGATGTCGCGGATGTGGTATATATCCGAGCTCATCTTATTTATATCATCAACGTATCGAGATCATAGTTGACGTTGTGATCGTATATCACATCAGCGATACCCAAACTATGTTTACTCTATTGAGTTAAATCTCTCATTATTACTGTGGAGAAGAATTGGAAAAAGCAGATTTTTGGTCATAAGTCGACTTATGCACTCATGCACAGGCATAAGTCGACTTATGGTAAGTCGACTTATGTTGGTGCATGAGTCGACTTACGTTCTGCTCTGGATTGTTGGTTTTTTGCTCTGCCAAGTCGAC